AATAATAATCTACCTATTGTTTTATCTGTCATTCAACATATACAACCATGAAAACATGATTAAATTGCATTTTATGGCTGAATCCCTAAGCAGGTAAATAATTCGTTTAGATGTTTTTTTTTTTTTTTTAAGCAAACAGTGCAGACGTCTTCCGTCTCACCTGTTTCTGAGCCTCCACCTTCTGCTTCCTGGTGGGGTCAATGGCATCCACCATCCACTTGATGGTGAAGTAGGTGACAGCTCCAAATATGGTGAGGCGGAAGAGGAGGCCAATGACCTCGTTCCTGCCTAGGGGACGGGCAATGTTTTCAGCTGGTACCTCCCTCAGCACCATCGTCAGGGTCGGAGAGGACAGCAAACGCACAGCTGCAGATGATGACGAGCTTTTATGAAGTCAGTGCCACTCATACATGCTATATAGGTCACATCATTAATACTGAAACCATCTGCCAGAAGAATAACCTATTCCATTAAGTTGAGTACAAGTATTCCGAAGCTAGTCATACACTGCTGTCATTTAATTTTGAACTGTGTCGTGTTTCAATCAAATCGTCCACACCATATTGTGCATCACATTGTATTGAGAAAAAGTCACATCGTCTAATCCCTTTATCTAAATTTTAACTGTAATAAATGCTTTTGGTGTTTTGGATCCAGGCCAGACTGACAAGCAACTCCTGAAAAATTACTTCTGATTTTCAGGTATGCTCTAGCACCTTTGTATTTCTGAGAAGAACATTGACATGGTAAACTGTCAGATTTTTAAATGGAGTTAGGCAAGTCTTGGTGACAGGTGGCCTACTGAACCGTCACTAACTAAACTGGTGTTCTTTTTGGAGACCCGATGGATTAAAAGATGGTTAAACTTTATGATCTATATTCTTAATCTCATACCATTGTGGGCCTATTTATTTCTAAACAGAAGTAAGGAATTGATCATGTGTTCGAATTTTAAATGGAGTCTGGCGGGACATTATCTCCTTTTACTATCAAGAAACGAAACGAAACAACTTTTACAGATCTAAAGGAAGATCCGTGTGAATCGTTTGATTTTTCGTTCATACTCCAGTAACTCTAATTCTAAAAGGCAAAGAGTCCGATCTTCAAAAGGAGTCTGCACTTTTATCTTCTGCACTTACAGAAACTAAAAACAAACTCCTGTTAAATTTAATGCAAAATAAATTAAAAAGTAGTGAGTTTCTGGTGGCAAGTCATGCTCTGACAGCTTTCACTTTCTAACACTGTACCCTTAAGTAACTGAATTCTTAACAACATCGAGTATGTCTCTCACTTATATTAACATATCCTTGTGTTTCACTGGAGATTCCGTTATGCCTTTCTGAGGGTCTTCCGACCTCATTTTGGGGCCCTCCGGTGTCAGCATCATTAAACCGAAAGAACTGAGCAGGCTAGCTGCTAACTTTAGCATTAGCGTGACCTTCTGGCTCTCCGGCTGTAACGAAACGACCCCTTGCCGGATAAACCTCTTATGTGACCGGCAGTAACACATGTTCATTGAAACCGGGAGAGGAAAACAACAGAAACGCTCCGTTATTCCGGTAAAATACGACCAACTCTTACCTCCTGATGTTGCGTCAGGAAACGACACTTCCGCAGTCTGTTCTTTTTTTGGTGATGCGAACACAGGCTGCGGGTCGTCGTATTCTTCTTTTGGTTTTTATTACGCGTTGGCAACCTGGGATTGTTGCATTAGCGCCCCCTCTGTGCAGTTGACAAATTGCAGATGTTCATACATCTACTATAATAGTTTGGATCTAACTGGACCTCATGCTGTGTTGCCGCGTTTCTACAACCGGAACTTAATGAGAGGTACTGTATATGTTGCGGTTGTTCTTCTTCTTTGACTTCTTTAATTCAGGTTCACAACCGACTGTAGGACGTACTACCGCAATTGACAGTGCTACAGAGTAGTTACCAACCAGTGAATCAATAAGGGATCATATTGATCAGCGCAAACCAAACAAATTGCATAAAAATCTCATTGAAAGTTGGCGACCCATGGGCTAATAAAAACATACAGGTACAGTGTGTCCACAATGTGAGACAACATTGCTTTAACTTGTGACTGGATTTTACTATTGTTTGTCTTAAACTGTTTTCACTATTTCAGTATTTATATGAAATGTACAAACCAAACTATTCACAGCAGCAGAGAGAACATTCAAATATGTAAAAAGATAGTCAGCAAAAACAGAAATACATTGTAACATCAATATCTTATTTTTCATTTGTTTTGTTTCTGGTGCCATAATAAAGTGATTTTTAACTAAAATGTTAATTTTTACTTGATTGTGATTTGCGGGGTTTCCAATAAACCAGCTGTATAAAAAAGTCCTCCTCCACATTGTTGCTTCAGAACCAACAGAAATGTCTATCTTTTCATTTTTAAATATGAACGTTTACGTGGGGACAATTTGGCAAAATTTGCAGATGACATGTTTTTAAATTGATTTAATTAAAAGTGCGACTGTATGTGTTCCGTTTTTCAGTTGGATGTTTGTCCACATGCGTCCTGCTGGTGGCGCTGTAACACGACTAATAACCCAGGGAACTGAAGATTACATTTACAGTTTACGGTCTTCATCATCATCATCACCACCACCGCCACATTATCTCTTCCTATACATTAACAGAAGGCTGAGTGTATACGCAAAAAGGGTTTAAAGTCTCTTTGTGTCTGCAGCAAATACAAACATAAAAATCATGAAGCAGAAACTGAAATATGTAAAAATCCATATTATAAAAGCCCTCCCTGTGGCCGCAGGGTTGATTATGTAATGTTGGTGGGACTCTGCTTGTTGCCAGGTTGTGACATTTTCCCGCTGATGTATTTTATGGCTTTTTGTTAAGGAGGTTTTGAATGGGAGGATGATGTTATCAGAATCTGGCAACTCTGTGTGCTGACAGGATGCGTTTGGTTCAGAAAGTCCAGATAGCTGCTAATATGTAGCATGGTCAAGTCCAAAACAGTGACCCAGTAACAGGAAACACTGGGGTTTATAACATAAAAGCTCAGTGCATGCTCTTCAGTGGATGATAGAAACCTTATGTATCAGTGATTATACATAGACATTCATTATTAGATACTGATATTAATGAAAGAATAAGTCCTCACAAATTAATAAATGTGTGGAAATAAAATGAAACAAGAACGCAAGTATTTAAGTGAATTAAATGACAAGAAAAACGAATAAAATGAAGTAAATAATGTTAAATTCAATTGACAGCACATCCCCTTCAAAAACAAAACTGGGACCATACCATTAGGCTACAGCTACATGTTAAAGTATCCAACTAAACAAGTAGCCTACTTAATTCACTGCAGCTTAGGGGGAAATATTGTACATTTTACTGCATGACATTTATCTGGCAGTTGCAATTACTTTGCAGATGGTGTTTTATAATAAGATTAGAAACAAACACAACAGAATATGTTGTCACGCAAAAACATATTCAGTGTGTAAAAATACATCTACCACGGTCAGATACAAAATTGAAATGCTTTCATGTATCATAATAATGATCCAATATTATAACATATTGAATGTAGTAATGACAGTTTGGTTGCATAGTGAGTACTTTTACTTTTAATACTTAAAGTAAGTTTCATTTTGCTAAGAGATAACTGATGTAAGATTTTTATAGTGTGGTATTGCTACTTAAATTTGTGAGATCAGAATCAAATCTGTGAATGGTCAAATTATGTAGACAAAGAGAGCAGAATAAACCTGTGGCCGTTACGGTCCCTGAGTAATATCTACGGGATTTTGTTTTTGTTTTGTTTGTTTTTTTTGTTTTTTTAGCACGGATAGACCTTAGGAGTGAAAACAACACGGAGACAAACAAAACCGGAATGCTGTTTTGAACCAGACTATTATTTTGAAGGCACAGAGCGGAAGTGTCGTGACTACTCTGTCTCGGTGTATCTGCGGTGTGTGGGTCTCGTCTCTTTCTCGGAGGTTTTCTCTCCGTGTGTCTGCATCCAATCACGGCATCTCTGCTGCACACCAGGATCAGGAGCTCTCCGACCAGGTCCATCCGACGTCTGGAAGTCTGGCTACGAGCACCGACCATCACGTCGCGGATGGTTCTGTCTCCAGGCGGGGTACCTGGAAACCCGGGCCCGCAGTGGGAGCAGAGAGGAGGCCCCGACGCCCCCTTGTTCTGACCCAGAGAACGGCACCGAGGCTCGGTCAGGCTGTGAACTAGCAGGCCAGCTAACCTGTGCCGGAGCTCACAGGGTGGCACTGTAGGAGGATGGTTAACGAGATTGTTTTTATCCGTTAGAGCCCTTCTTCTTTTTTATGCATCGGGGACGATTTTGCACTAAAGGTCTAGATATTGGGGAGCTGGTGGCAAGCTAGCTCTGGGCTAGCTGTCCCGGTTAGCTTCTTTCCCGGCCAACAGACAGCGGAGGTTCCGCAACGGGGACGGGGGGAACACGGGCTGTTGCCCCGCTCTTTCTCCTAATCTCACACCGCTCCCGGAGACGCCGATAATGGCTGCTTTAATCAAGGAAATCGTCAGCAGAAATAAAAGGCGATATCAGGAGGACGGCTTCGACCTGGACCTGACCTGTATCCTTTTATTGTAATTTAACTGGGTTTGGTTAGCCTGGTCCGCTAGCTTGTTAGCCCTCTGCCATCATGCAGGACTCCATTCAAAAATGCGATAATTTAAGGCTACTGTTTATGTCGTCCAAGAGGCTGCCTACATAAAACAAGACCCTCTAACCGATAGAGCCACTGTTCACATCTGTATGAATGTAAAGGCTAACCAATCAGAGCAACGCCATATCATGCTAATCAACATTTAAAACAGTTTAGTGATCGTGGATTGAACTAAAGCTAAATCGTTAGCGGTAGCAAACATACTCTTTTTAAATGGCTCAGATGCTGGGAAGTATTCTTTAGGGAGCGATGTTTGCCTTATTTATAGCTTTCTGTCAGTTAGTGAAATAATATTAGGCTAATGTGCATGTAACATTATGTGCGAGTTGTCTTAAATTGGCTCTTGTTTCAACGGAGTTCGTTAAATTTTTGCGCACAGGAGAGCGGGCTAGCTAACGTTAGCAGCCGTTTATCTCCAGTCTATCTGCGAGTAATGAAACATTGGGTCATTTCTCATCAAGATGCCTGATAACATTTATACGGCTATAAATCTGATTGTGTGTCGTTTCAAGTTATTTTCAGAGACGTAGCAGTTGCTAACATGCTGAACTAACAGCGGTGTCAGTGGCGTTGCATCAGCAGCAGGAGTAGCTAGCAGGCTGCCACTAACACCTGCAAGCACACCTGAGAAATCTACCATAGGTCAGGTTTACAAGATTTTATAGAGTTCAGAACTGTTCTCTGATATTTACTCTCCGCACACGCTAGTGTTATATTAACAAAGATCACGATGTTGAAGCTTTTCTAAGCTAAAACACCAAAACGTGACCGGTCCTTGTGTCTGGGATGTGAATATTTAATGCTAACGTGATATATCTGAATGGCCACAGTTTGATGCTTTCCCAACATCTGTCGTATAGTCATCATCTGGATTAAAGCATATTGCGTTTACTGCTGCAAGTTTCTCAAGTTGTAGCATTACTGTGCACGGCCACCCTGAGTACACCCCTGTTCAGTATCACTAAAGTGTTAAACATGAACGAAATTATAAAAGACCCTGCAAACACCACAGCTTTCTTAGTCTGGGTTGTGTCTAATGCAACATGGCTCCACATGGTGAAGCAACCAGACGGTGAGACTGGCACAGGAGCATCAGCTGAAACACAGCTGCAGCAGATGTTAGGAGGTACAGACGCTAAGTGTTTCTGACCTGGAACAGGGATGATCTGTGGAAACTGAGGTTTCAGTGACTGATTGGTGTGCAGTGTGATGTCAACCTCAGCTGTGTCCACAGAGAAAACCATTAGTCATACAGCAGCATAAAACTACAGGATGAGTTTGGGATTATTTCCTCAAATACTGCACAAATCTCACCACTGAAGGTGGACTGACTTTTTTTGCTGCTGCATCTTAATTATGAGTGTCTCATTATCATTAGTCAACATACCTGTTTTTCACCTTAATTGGCCTCAGTCTTCTTGAGCTTTGTCTGAAAACATAGAATGAAAAGGACAGGATTTGTAATTCAATAAGGGCTGTGCTACACTGCTGGAAATGACAGATGTTTTTGCTCTTTTTGTGAAACAATAAAAATATGAACGTTTTGTATGAAAATATAACAGAAAAAGGCACGAATACAGATGAATGTCAGTGAATTTTTAGGAGGGTATGCCTTTGTTTGGATTAGTAAAACGGTTTTACCTGAAGAAACATGTTAAAATATGTCAGGTTGCATCAGACAGAACATTTGTTTATCCAGACGTTGGTAGAAGGTTTTAGAAAGGTGACGTATTCGAATGTCTCGTCCAGCTCTCAGAGGTTCAGTCTGCGGTGGCAGAGACTTGGAGAGACATGGGAGACACTGACCCAGGATGACAGTTAATTGATTGATTTCCTGTTTCTCAGCTGATTGATGTAGCTGTTACTCAGTAATTCATGTGAGGCTTTTTAAAGTATTATTTTATATGTTAACATGTGAAGTCATTGTTCTGCTGCATGTCTATGACGTCATGGACGAGAGAGGATGAAAGACATAGGGGAGACATGTCTATGACGTCATGGACGAGAGAGAATGAAAGACATAGGGGAGAGAGAGAGCATGAGCTGAAGGAACAGAATCAGAGGAGTAGGAGAGAGTCCAGGGATGAAGTTCGATGGCATTTTTTTAACCTGAATCCCTTCTCGAATCTGTTTAGTTTCTTAACTAAATATTTTTGTTTCACTCAGTTCAGCAATAGCACACAGTTAAAGATGCATTAACTAAGACTTTCCATATTGTTTGATACATCCAGTAACATGGGGCAGGATGTTGTCTCTGTGTGTGCTGAGCGTGATGACCAAACATTTTTTTAAGATTCTGGTGGTTGTACAGTGTATTGCTGTCTTTTACCTATGGCAAATTAAAGCCTTCTCCCATCTTCTCCAGTCCTTAAGGTGGGCCGCCCTGACCATGTTGGCCCCACTGTCAGGTGTTGGCATCGATATGTACACGGTGTTGTATCTACCACTTACTTAGGCCAACTGTCTCGCCTCTTAAGCCTGTTACTTGTCCGGTGTGGTCGTTCATGAAATAAGATGTTTGGAAACAGCAGTTGTGCAACTGCCAGTCATCACTGAAAGTGCACCGTTATGCTGACATATGACTCCACTGTAGGACTTAAACACAGGTCTGTTGGTGAGCGAGTGTCTGCAGCTCTGCTTCCAGCTCGCTTCGGTGTTCTTGCTATACTATTGTATCCATCGCAGTTTGCTAGTGTTGCCAACAGCAGCAGCAGCAGCAGTGACTCACCAAAGTTACCAGTATATCATCCTTTGGTCTTTTGTAAAACCAAAAAGTTCCAAAATGCAGACACTCTCTGGGACATAATCTCCAATCTGTTCTTTAAAGGATAAGACTGGTCATTTTTTTATATTAATAGAATTTTCAAGAGTCCCCATAAAACCAGCAGTGCCACAGACCTCAGTTGTAGTTCAAAGATTAATAAACTCACGTCAGTGAAACACTCCGCTGCACTGGGTTCTCGGTATGAAACACAAGACCTCAACAACAAACAAGATAAAAGAGGTTTCCACTGTGTGTATTGATCCTTAACAGACTGATCAGATATTTATCCCAACATCATCGCCATGGGTTTCCCTGCGGAGCGACTGGAGGGAGTGTATAGGAACAATATTGACGAAGTTGTCCGGTAAGACAGCGCTCTCCATGACCTTTAGCCCCTCAAGAAGGGACAGCTTGTTAGTTTTAAATGTTTGAACACATTAGCTAACTGCACTTCCTGTTGATCATTTTCAAGCTCATCAGGTTTCAGTAACTGAAGAGAAAATCAGAGTTTACCACCAGACGTGGGAACATGGCACAACATGAACATACTCCAGTACAAATAATAGTCCTGCATTCAGCCGGCTACTTATTTAAAGTATTAAACGTATTAGCACCAAATGTTCTCAGTGTGTTAATAGTAAAAGTACTTATTCTCCATGTGGCTGACTCTTTCTGACATTATTAGATGGTTAATAGATGTGATAGTATTTCCCTCTGCAGTGCAGTATAAGTACAAAGTAGCATGAAATCAAAAGTACTTGAGAAAATGTACTGATTTTGCAAGCTTGTGTAAACACTCAACCTGTCTGTGTCTTAGGTTTTTAGACTCAAAGCACAAGAGTCACTATAAGATCTACAACCTGTAAGTACTGCCTGTCTGTCCTGTCACTCAGCTTCAGTGTAGCTCTGTTGTTCATGATCTCTGAAGATACCGTTGCTCTGTGTGTTCGGATGTACATCTCCACCCATCACATGACTTAGTCTAGATACATCTGTAATGATACAGTCAACTTATTCAGAGCTGAGTCTGTTCAGGTGGGATTTGATAGTTTGGCTGTTTAGCCACATTAGCAGTGTGGCTCTGGAGATGTCACCATCGGTCAGTCGTCCTCCTCTTTGGTACAGAGTAAAATTGTTAGCTGGACTGTGTTGATATGTGGTTCAGACATTCACACGTCCCTAAGGATGAACTGAATAAATTCTGCTGATCCTTTGACTTTTCATCTAGCGTCACCATCAGGTTGACATTTAACTGTGTCCGGTATTTTGGTTTATGATCAAATACCTGCAGAAGTAATGACGTTATCTTGAAGGGTATCTCAGTTTCCTTCTTGCTGAGTGTGACATGAGATCAACTTTCACTTGTCTTTCATAGACCGACACGCCCCTTTATCAGAAATCACCTGGTGATTGATGCTTCAGAAGTATAAGAGGAAACTGCCCCCCACTCCCCCCATAGCATCTTACATGGGTGGGCCTAAGTCTAGTCAGACAAGGAAATATGCAAGAGAGGGAAACATGATGCAATTAAGGTAACTGAGATGTACCCTGAGGTGGTGAACAGTAGTGGACACAGCACAGCGCTGTCTGCGTTGATTTAAAAACATTTGTGTGTTAATGCAGGTGAATATCTGACAGACTTTCTGATAAGTGTCAGTTAATCTTGACATCAGCACATCAGTAACAGTATTCCTGTAGAAATGCTAAAGTTTGGAGAACTACTTTCTGATGTGAGTTCATTCTGACATCAGACCTGTTGTGGGTTGTACTACGGACAGAAACGCAGTAGATACAGAATGATGCGAGTCTCTGTGTCTCACTCTTTGCTTAGATGATGTTTGTCATGTTTTAGGATTCTGCCGTTGTAACACGTGTCTCTGTCCATAGATGTGCAGAGCGACATTATGACGCATCAAAGTTCAACTGTCAAGGTAAGATGAATTCATCTGAAACCTTACTGATCAAAGCAAGGTATCTGTAGGTTCCTCAGCAAAGGCCTTAGACGGTATTAAGAAGTCTTAAGTCACATGTGCCGAGGTTTTGAATATTTAATATTAGTTCTGAGTTAGTTTTCGTATGTGGCTGTGCTGTCCGGAAATGGGACTGAACACAGGAGGCAGTTTGGGCCTTTTTCATGGAGTTCAGTCAAATTTAGCAAAGACTTTCAAAACTGACTTGTACTAATCATTTCTGATTAGTTAATCCAGCCTCCAGTGTTCTGCTGTTTATCTTGTTCCAGGTCATGTTAATGTATGAATTATGTTACCAGGAATTATTGTGAAACAGCTGGAGGTCCAGACGCTAATGTGATACATCATGAAATTCACGTACTTAATAAATAATTGTTATCACCCATACTGGTTTTCTATCTGGTTGTCCAGTAAGCCCATTGAAAAGGTGCATGATATTGAGAAGGTCTTTAAAGTTGTGAATGAAACCTGGTGAACACTGCAGAAACCTGAGGAAGGGTTGACAGATTGAGCTCAGTGAGTTTTTAAGTGCAAATAATAATTGGAAAAGGTGCACATTTTAATTAGAATCTGCATAAACAGCATCTGCTGTCACCACAGGTTCTTCTGCTGTAGCCAATTAAGATTCAAGAGTTTTCATTTGCCATTTATTCATAAACAGACAGTCTAGGCATATAAGAATTCTTGGGGTGGCTGTGGCTCACGAGGTAGGGCAGTCGTCTCCTGACCAGCAAGTTGGTGGTTCGACTCCCGGTCTCCCTGCATGCCTAAGTGTCTGAACCCTGAATTGCTCTCGGTGGCTTGACTAGCGTCGTTGTGTGGCAGCCTGTCGTCATCGGTGTGTGAATGTTGTGTGTGAATGGTGCATCATCTCCTGTAAAGCGCTTTGGCCAGTGCAACACACTGTGGAAAAATACACTACACAAAAGCCAGAAAGAACACTTGGTCTTAAAATAGAAACGTTACATAAAGGTGACAAAGTATTAAAACACAATATACAAAAATAGGGTCATAGTATTTCCCACAGTGAACTTCAAACACTGCACTTAGTAATTCACATGGTGGAGTTGGATATGGCATTACGCTTGGTGAGGTAGTGACGGGTTACTGCAGATGTCTAGTGCACGTCTGCCTGTGTGGTGTTACCATACCAGTAGCGAGGATGCTCTCTATCAAATCAAATTTTATTTGTATAGCGCCAAATCACAACAAAAGTCATCTCAGGACACTTTACAAAGTAAGGTCTAGACCTTACTGTTATCAATATTATTACATAGGGAAAACCCAACAAATCCCCCTTGAGCAAGCACTTGGCGACAGTGGGGAGGAAAAACTCCCTTTAACGGAAGAAACCTCCGACAGACCCCGGCTCTTGGTGGGCGGCCTTCTGCCTCGACCGGTTGGGGTGAGTGGATAGAGGAGAGACAAAAGAAGAAAAGCAACAAGACACAACAATCAAACACTGATCAGGTCGATGTGGCCGGTGACTGCTCGTCAGAGACATAGAGCTCCAGGGCCAGGGCAACCTGCAGAAAGGTACAGGGAGAGAGAGAGAGGACACTACGGGAGAGAGGAGACACAAAGTTAATAATGTGTAATGGTGGCATATAGAAACAT